AATGACCCCTGTGCAAGTAGTTCTTTTAAGAATGAGTATTTATGTCTGTATGGATGTTCTTTCTGAAATGCTTTTTATGAGTGTCTGTCAGAATGTTGCAGCTTTTTCAGGAATGGCCTTTATTCACGCACCTTACAATTTTTTATCATGCTGTTTCTGATCCTGAGAAATATTGGGGAGCAAAATACGTGAGATAGCTTATGCTATTGGTGGTAAGACATTTGCGTTGATATCCAGGATGAATGTGTAACAGGGTGACCAAACCTGACTTTCAACTTCAGTGCAACAATTGAGATATGTTTCATTTTCCTAACTGGTGCTGGAAATACAAATGCTGTTTACATATAAATTATATGGAAATATGTCGTAGATAGAGTATGTAACCTATAGTCCACTTAATGCATTAACAGTTAGCACAGGCATTCTAAGAATCTTTTGAACATAACCCCAAATTTCTGTATCAAAATATTCTCAAGTTATATCATTGCACAATAGTAACATTTAACTAAAATTAGTATGAAACAAATGGTAGCTAGATGGAAATATTCATTCAGCATCAGGTAGTACTATACATGAAAGGGCTCTTACCTCTCAGTAAAGATTTGTTTACAGCAATGGTTTCTTGATAGCTTAGGATACTACTATATTATACATAATTGGGCTAAATTCTGTGTTCCTTACCTGTGTGCTGAATTTCCACCAATGTCACCAGAACCACTGGTATGTGTAAGACAATATGGATTTTGACATGAGACAGCACTACTTTTTTAAAACTGATTTTAAATTTTGTCTTTTTTAAATAATCCTGTCATGCACATTATAATTAATATCTGTAATGTCTCAAATTAATACAGCTAAACAATGGCTTTAAAAGTCCATGTGTGCATATGCCATTTTGAAATGCTATATTTTTTCAGGATGTAAATTTCTGCTTTCAGTTTAAAATTTATATGAAACTGAAAACAGGAAAAGAATCTCTAAAGCACTGAATTATTTCTTTGTTTGTCTGTAAATTATCCACAGCTTTAATTTCCCTTCTTTTGTGGTGCCATAAACTGATTGTGAAATAAGACTCTCATTTTATAAATAGGTTATAGGCTGGCAATTTGATACCAGTACTTGGAACTTGGACCTTTTATCCTCTCTTATAAGAATATAATAAAAATGTATTATTTCTATAGCTATACAGTGTAGCAGCCCTATAGTGTAAAAAAACCCAAAAAAACCCAAACTAAGCCCCTTGAATTGCATTAACTGTAACCTGTGACAATTACATGTGTTTTATAATCACTAAAGCATGGAGGTTTGTGTTTGAACTTTCATGTTGCTTTGTAAGTTACTTTACCCAAGTGTTTTAATATGTAAGGAATACAGAGTAACAGTGCCTGAAGAGCACAACTGTGTCAGTCATTACAGGGCTAACCACATTCCTTTATCTGTAGAAACATTGTGACTCTACAAGTACCAATTTGATTTTCAGAGGAATGTCAAGTTTAATGACATAGGCGTATCTGCCTAGTCAAGCAGTTAAGAGGTAGTAATTTAAGCTATGTATGTTAATTGCACCAAAGGAAAAGACTAATACTAACTGCTGACAGTACATATTTTATAACCCAGACCTAAAGTTCAAAATGTGTGGACCTGCCATGAAGCAGTCAATAAAAAGTTGATCTCATTTTTTGGTGTGCATTCTTTCAGTGGTAAACAGTTCTCAATGTGGCTGAACTATGCTCATAAGGTGTTTACTAATTTAGAGCCTATTTCTAGTGTTACCTATTCTGTTAAGCTGTTTTTCCCACGTTGTAGCTTTAGGCCAAAGTCCATTATAAAGGAGCAGAAATTGATTTTTTTTATTTGAGGGAATTTCAGACCTCATTCATCCAACAGATTTTTACCATCTTTCTCACAGTGAATGGTCCATGTAATTTGTTGTTTTCTGCCTATAGAAATCAAGGGTGTAGGGGGAATGAGTGATACTTACATTAAATATCTTCCAAAATTAGTTCTGTAAGTATAGTTATATGAACTGATTTCATGGTCTTGTAATGAGGGCAGGAGGAAAAAGCACTGTAATGCAGTCATGCTTGAATGCAATTCTTGTTGGGCACAGCAGGTAAAAACACGAACTATTTGCTCACTTTTTTCTGGGCTTGAAACTAATCTGATACAGTACTGGCTTTATTTATTTGGGCTCCTTGTACCCTTCAAACAACTTCAGCAAGTTTAAATGTAACTTTCAGGTACTCTTACTATTTTCCATACTTAATTACTTTGCAGACTAATTAAAAATAACCAATACAAAGTTAAATCTCCGATGTGTTTTAATGTTGGGTTATTACTTCTATTACAAATCTACACAATGGTGAAAAGTTTAAAATGGCTTCTGCACATGTCTAGTAAAGAATTATATTGCTGTATCTCAGACAAATACTGTCATTTGCAAGCTGCTTTGTTTTATTACAAAACTGGCAATTAGGCTTTTAAAAAAGAATGAGAACATGTTACAGCTCTAATGTCTGTGAAATTTTCTAGAATTTAGTTATTGTTTCAAACAATGATTAAAACTTACAAATGGTGGCCTTTTTACTGAGAAATATTTTGGGGAATGGGATTGGAGAACTCTAGAACTCAGACTTGCAAAGAAGTATTATTGGACAATTCATGTTACCAGCACATACTTCTAAAGGAATCAAAAAAAAAAAAAGAATCCAAGGAAAAGAAAAATTGAAGTGGAAACCTTTAAGGGCTTAGATATAAAATTATGTTGCTCGCTTGGTAAGCTATTACTGTCTTGTATAAACCAAACTTAACTCCTGGGAGATCTTCATAGTTACTCACAAATCATTTTTTTTCCAAAAAAAAAAGTCTAACAGGTAATACATATATACCCATTCCCCACATAAACATAGAATCAGTTGTTCAAGTAAGGACAATACTTAATCTAAATACATTTGAACTGGCCTGGCCCAAATATTCAGTTATTTGGTTTCAAATTAGTAGCTGCTTTGTGTTGTATCCAGGTTTGCATCTTAAAAGCATGAGTTGTTTTGCAACAAACAAACCTTAATTTTTTAACCTGCATACACACATTTTGCCTTATTTGCATTTCAGACATGGAGGGAATGCTGTAGCATTTGACCTGCCATAGTCACCTTCTTCCCCAAGTACAGTTCTTCAGAATGTTAAAGTACATATGACTTTTCAACTGCTTTTACCAAATCAAAATGTTTTTACTTTTTTCTTTTTTAAGAAAAGCAAATAATTGTTATGACACTTAATTTTTTTTTAAACGCCACCTCCTCCCACCTCCCCCCCAGTACAGCCACTGTATGAATTCAGGAGGGAAAACTTATAAAAGGGTTTGAACAGAAAGGGATGTAATATTTAAATGCCACTGCACAAAAAAAGAGAAAAACCTTGATATTGTCTTTAAAGCATGCAAGCATTGATAAAATTTTATTTTTTGCTACATGAAACCCCATGTGTACAAAACAGTGTAGAGTTAGGATTTTGTAAGAGAATAATTTTTTTCATCTCTTGCCTAATAGTTGTGTATTTTGAAATAATTTTCAGTAATAGATTTTTTTGTCTTGAGACTCTGCTTTCAGTATCATGTCTTGGGCTCTGGATTCCTATACAATTTTTGTCACTATTTTGTGTATATAAAGCATATAATACTGAAAAGATTAAAAAATAAAAAAAGCTGAAATGCTTTGTCATTGTTTTGACTGGAAAATGGCAGTGCTGTTTGATATTTTGAAAATGCTCTCCAAATAGGCAAGAATATATATGGTTGTATTTGATATCACTTTTTTAAATAAATATGATTATAGCTTCTAATGTTTCTCTCTTGACCTGAATATTTGCATATGTGCTTTCCTTTATATGTGGATTCAGCACAGAATCATCAAATGTTAAAATCTCATCTTTGGTATCACTGGGCTTTGCACCAGATGTTGTGTATATACATTATTATTACATTATTTGTCCAGAGAGGTGGTGGAGTCACCA